CTAACAGCTTTTCAAGTGGAACTGTAGCATACTCTTTTAAGTAGTATTACTTTAAAATAGTTTTCTTACTCTAAAATCTTTTCTGTTCCATAGATCTACAGAAATATTTTAGTTATTTCACAAGGTTTGGTATATTACTATCAAATTTGTGTTTTTCAGTCATATAGAATTTTAAAAAAAGTCAAACTGTCTTAATCTGATAGTTTGATAGTCTAATACTGACTTAATCTAATAGTCAGTATTTATTTTTTGCTTCTGTATTCCTATATTTTGGTTGCACAGTTTGCTCAGTATTTTGTTTACGTGTCAGTCTTTCTCAAATGTCAGATACTTTTTGCTACCTTAACTCTTAATAACCATGAAAGGAACACACAAGGTGGATCCATTGTTCCTATTTTATTTTGTTTCCCTTACAATCATACCCTTTTGTGGGACTTTTACAATGCCACTAGTAATATGCTACTCTGGAGAGCCTTTTGGGGGTGAAGCAGAGATAGCTTATTTCATTGCACAATTTAAATATGTATATGATTTTAAATTCTGGAAATGTCTACTTTTATCTTCGTCTTTCATCTATTAAATCAGACTGTTCTAGAAATTGCCAACAAGGGACCAAGTTCAGTTCATTTCCTCAGTTTTACCACCAGAGCTGTGGTGGCACAGTGGTTAGAATGCAGTATTGCAGGTTAGCTCTGCCTTGATCCTCACTGGCTCAAGGTTGACTGAGCCTTCCAAGGTCGGTAAGAGGATCCAGATTGTTGGGGGCAATATGCTGACTCTTTAAACCACTTAGAGAGGGCTGTGAAGCACTATATAAATCGAAGTGCTATTGCTATTTACTTGTTTACTGTCAGCTCTCCAGACCACTTTATCAATTTTAAACAGCTGATGACTTGTGTCTATCAATAAAACAATTTGAAAGCCTGATATATGTAGAGTTACTTGTCATGGTTACCTTGACCAATATTTCACTTCCCAGGTAGGACTCAGCACTGTATTAGATAGATCATACCAGGAGTGTGGTACAAGGTGGAAAACAGCAGGGGGTGGGGGGAAGTGGCAGGGGGAAAATATGTCAGTGACATGCCCAATCTATGACAGTAACTGAAGCAAGTTAAATTAATCCTGAGGGCATTCAAAAAACCATCAACGAAGGTATTAACAATATAATTTATCTTTATATTATAGAAACTTGCGAAGCTTGTCAGCAGTACATTTACACAAATTAGTACATTCATTCATCCCATATTCAACACAAGTATAATGACTGGCTACACACATCCTAAGGATATTTTAAAAACCATAATCAGTTGAAGAAACAGTAATGGCTAGATCCACATATAATGTGAAATCATAAAGCATATTTCACAAAGCACCATACTGAGTTCATGTATTTAAGCCCAAATTAAACAAGCTACATTGTTCAAAGTGCTGTGTGAAATCTGTTTTTACTGTACAGTGATGTTTGCAACATTGAAATCCAAGGTAAGTTTATTTGTAAGATTATATACTAAGAAAATACCAATTTTAAGCTTAAAGAAGCATTTACAAAGATAATACTTACAGCACCTTTTTCAAACTTGGTATTCTCCAGAAATGTTAAGACTACAATTCCAAGAATTCACAGCCAGAAGTCATCTACAGTAATACTTTAATACACTCCCTCATAAACCTATTACCCACCCTCAAAATTTTATTACTCAGATAATAGGAGCACAAAAAATACCTACCAATTCTCCTGGGCCCAGGACACACACACATTCTCCTGTCACAACAAGAAGCCGCCAACATCCACAAAGCAGAAGCCCAGGAATAGCAAGGAACAGGAGAGATTATTAAAGGAGGAAGAAGAAGTCTCCAATATTGAAGAGGGACAGGAAAAAGAAAGACAGAAAGACAAGCAGTTTGTTTGTAGTCACAAACATTAAGAAGCAACTTGCAGCATAGCCAACGCTACCTAAGCTTTCTACAGCCGAACACAGAGCAGAACTCAATCACACTTGCTATGCAACATAACATCCAGTTCACACAAGACTCATCTGCTATCAGCCAGCTCTGAAGAGCAACAGGCATATACATTGTTTTGAAACGAGGCTGGAGGAATATTTTAATCTGCTAAGCACCAGCTTCAATTATTTGAAGTCCCTATCAAAAGGTATATAGTTGCTCTGAACAGAGCAATATAGAGTTTTCACTTTAGTATTTTCAACAAAGCTCAGGATTTTTCCAGCTTCACTGATCTAACAGAGATTAGTAAACAGACATACAGGACATATTCTGACCAGACTGACATTTAAATCAAAACCAAATGTCCATATTAAACAAGTATGAGCAGTATTGAAAATAACCAATATACCTTCCTGAGTACATATGAACATCACAGAAAGGAGGCGGCTTCTTAGATGAAGAACAGTTTATCACTACCACTTCAACAATTTTGGCGTTTTTAAAAATGCCTTCTTACATAACCCAATTTTTCTTATTTGAATATTGGGGTCATCAAGACATGGATTTATAGTCAATCCAGTTACAAGACATAGATCCTATTCTCCAAGTTCTACAAAGTTCTTGCAAATTCATGAGATAGAAGGGGGTCAATCACAAACCTGGCAAGAGCACATCAGCTGTTTAGCCGCAAAAGATAGTTTATTCCTAGTATGAAGGCATTCTCACAGGGGATTAATTATATCTTTCCCAGGATGCTGTCAATCCTGTTAATTATTCTCCATATTGCAACTAATGGTAAAGAAAAAAGGGCTGCACAAGTAAGTTCTTCTGGATACAAGGCAGGAAGAAATAAACTAATTAGTTTATGTAATGATCTGCCAATCAGATTAAAAGCTTTAATTATAGTAGACGTGTCCCCAGGGAGAAGGGCAGCATTTTATCATAAAAACCTCAAACAAAATGCTGTCTTAAAGTTTTGTTCTTTTACATTCAAGAAAAAAAGCAACATATGCTTCCTAACTTCAATATTATTAATCATATAGAGGTATACAGCCCAGCTCCAGCAGATGGAAATAGCTGGCTGCCTATATTTGAGTATGAAAGCTTAGAAAAGAATTGAGTGGGATTAGTACTGGGAGAAGTGAGCTGTAGAGAATACCACAGGCTATGAAGAGATGAGAAACGAGCAAAAAATTATATAGATCACAATATTGCTGTCTATATCTGTGTATGTGTATATCTGTGTGTGTATGTATGTATGTATCTATATCTATCTATACATATATATATATATATACATACACACACACATACATACATACATATATATGCTACCGTGTTTCCCCCAAAATAAGACATCCCCTGATAATAAACCCAATCAGGCTTTTTCAGCGCATGGCAATAAGGTCAATGCTTATTTCAGGGTTCAAAAAAATATAAGACAGGGTCTTATTTTCGGGAAAACACGGTATACACTTATATACCGTATATGTTGCCTATACATTGCAAGAAAACTACATTAAGATGTAGAAAACTACATTAAGTAGTTAATGTAGAAAACTACATTAAGTAGTTTTCTCAACTTGGAGACTTTTCGATATATGCTTATATATTACACATGTGTGTATTAATAGAGCCACTGCTCAGAAGTAACACTTAAATATGGCCCATTTTGCTCTACAGGGCCTGCAGACAGGCTGGAGCTTTCCTCTCCTCTTTACTAAGGAAACCATCTGGATGTGGTCCATGAAACCACCAGGACCCCAAGCTGGACCCAAAGGTTACTTTTTTTTTCCCCACTACCCAGAGATGCAGCACAGTGAACCAAGGCTTTCCTGAAGGTAAAAACACTGGCGGATCCCGAAATGTCACCTTCAAGTCGGACCGCGGATGCCTGTTTTGCATGCCTGGCTACATAACAACAATGCCGGGGCTTTTTCAGGGGCTGCCTTGGAGACGCCTGAACTCGGGTCTGTTGCTGAAACTACGCCCGCGTCCTCCTCCTCCTCCTCCTGTGCGAGGCATCCCCGGTCTCCTCTTGGGCCTTTTCCGCCTGTACCCAATATGGGAGGCAGCTGCACGGCGGCAGCAGCAGCAGCATCACTACCTCCTCCGCCTCAGGCCGGGGAAAAAACGGGAGCCGGGAGATGGCAGCGGCCGCTACCCAGGACCACTCGCGGGTGCTCCAGCCCCAGAGCCGGCTCTAAACCGAGAGATACTGACCTGGCCCGAGATGGGGAAGAGGGAAGGTGACGGTACCCGGTGAGGGCAGCGGGTTAAAAGGAGAGCGAAGCGGCCGCTGTCCCGCCCTTCCGCGGCCGCCGTAGACGGGGCGACTCGGCCTTTCCCCCTCCCACCCAGAAGCCCGAGTGGCCAGCGGCGGGCGCGCGCCTGCCTCAGCTTCCAGCTGCAGCCGCGCAGCGGACGGGAGGGTGGGGAGGGAGGGAGGGAGGGAAGCGAGACGGGTTTCAAGGCTCGTGGGCGGTTTTTGTGACGCTGCCCAGATTATATAGCCTTCGCTCGGCCGTCTTCACGCTCATTGGCTAAAGGCAGGGATGGGCGTGGGAGGGGGGAAAAAAAAAGAGAGGGCAGATCACGTGACTCACACGCTCGCTTATCCCAAGCTCCCATGCTTCCCCCCCCCTCTCTTCTTTCTTCCCTTTCTTCCGTTTTTTAATGCCGGGGCTTGGCGGAGGGATCTCGAAACTTATGTCCGCGTCCGCCGATCGCCTTGCTTGCTTAGTGGCTTTCGGAAGCCGAATGTACGAATTGCAGCTGAGGACTTCTTTTCTTTCTCTTTTGATGATCTGAAAAAGGCGGGAGCCGGCAAAAAAAAAAAAAAAAAAAGGCGGGTTCGGCCGACATTGTGTTTGGCTCGGATCTCCCAGAAGGTCCGCCTTCGTATAGCTTTGCGGCCTATCAGACCGCTTTGCTGAGAAGAGGCGTGGTCGGTGCTTCTGGGGTGGGGACGCGGGAGGTGTAGGGGGAAGCCGTATTCTCTGGAAAAGCAGGTGGGAGCAATTTTTAGACTTCTTCCCAATGCTCCCTCTTTGCTAAAGTTGTAACTAAGTTCACCCGACGATAAGGATAGCGATCCTTTGCTTTGGATAAGAAACTCAGTGTACCCGCATATGTGTTTGCACAAGGGCTTGTATAATTAACCCCATGGGGGTTCTGGGTTTGCACAAGAGACCGAATGGAAAACGAACCAAATTTATGTTTGCACGGCAGGCTGAAAAACGTAAATTGACTGGTTTATGGTTTGGTAAGTGAGTCTTAACCCTAATATTTCGATGTAGCCTTTTGCAGGTATGAACGGACACACAGCTCATCTATTTACAAAGACTCCCCTAACATTTTAGGGAGGGGAAAGGATGTGGGGAAGAAATGGGATGAATGAAGAACCTGCAGTAGAATAAATAGGGTGAAATGCACTGAGTTAATCTAACAGCATTTCTGCAGTTCGGATCCACGTTACATAATCAGAATTTGAGAGAAGATGGCTTGCTGGAGACCCGAGCAGCAGCATTCAAAAATATGCTCCTCTCACTTTTATACTGTATATGGTGACCATATTTTCTTGGGAAAAATGAAGGACAATCCTGAAAAAGGCAAATCTGAAAAAGGTTCATAAAATAAAACGTTTTAACTGTTTATGAAGATGGTCTGAAGTTGTCTGAAGGTTGAATCATTGCAACTGGACTAGTATTTTGTCAGTTTGAGAGCTGCAGAGTCGCATAACTAGCTCTCAAATTAACAACAACAACAAAAAAAAAACTAGTCCAGCTGCAGTGATTCAACCTTCAGATAACTTTAAGACAACCTTCAGACAACTTTACCTGGATGATTGAGAATTTTCATTGACATCTTTCTGTTTATAACTGCTTTACGAAAGAAAAATCAATAGCAACCCTCCCCTGGCAAAATGCACATTAAAATTAAACAAATTGCAAATTTATTTTTAAAAGAAACCAATTTCCGTATTTTTCACATGAATATGAAAGTGCATTAAGTCATAACATTTGTACAGTAAAAGTTTAACTCAATAGGACAGATGTATGTTTTTGAAAAGTCTTAACAGGCAGCTTATTGAAATAAAGGATTATCTTTATATTAAGGAATGTATGGTCACTGTACTTACCTATAGCATTTTCCTGATATGCTTGATGCTGTACAAAAATACAGAAGAAAATAAAATCTTTATTCTTGGGTTAAAAGGGCTGTAAATTTCATTAAGCTCTAGGAGATTTAATGGATATATCATTAGATTTTAACAACTGAAGTGATTTATCATTGCCTTCTAGGATTGTTTTTTGACTTTCCAGTTTAGACTCCAGTCCTGGGATCCAGTCACTAACCAGATTTCATTTTCATTTCATTTTATTGGATTTATATACCACCCTACTCCCGAAGGACTCAGGGTGGTGAACAGCCAAAAAATAAAACACAGAAACTACAAAATTTAAAAGACAATATAAAAACCCATTAGATAATTTGGCCCAAAACAAATTAAAACACCCCTAATGTTATAAAACAAATTTACAATTTACAATTTAAAAGGGAAGTTAGGCCAGGCCAGCTTGCTGAAATAAAAAGATCCTGACGGCACGGCAGATCTGACTCTGTTGCCCAAGGTTTTCTAGGATTACTGACTGCATAACAGAACAAATATAACATTTATTTGACACAGCAGTAGTTAGATACTCATACAGTAAAGTTGTGCCTAAGATTCAGCATAAGACTCTTGCATATAAGATTAGGTTAAATACATTATGCGGCTGTTCTGCTCAACAGGGCCATTAGAAACGCCTAGCTAGTTCGAGCCATTACATATTTCATACTTTTTTCAGAAAGAGTTGAGTTACTTATAAAGTAATAAAGTTAGGATAAAAAGCATATATATATTTCAAAAAGCATAGTTTTCATTTAATCTTCGGCAGCTTGCAGACAAGTAGAGGTTGGAATCAGTCAATTAGTGTAGAGGTTGTCCTAGATCTACCATAACTCAGATACAAAGCTCTCTGTTTTGGAGGAAATGTCTATTCCATGCACCGAAGAACAATGACTAAGCTCTGAATTAATTTGAGGAACAAGTGCCCCAATATCAGAATTATGGATATCATTTGAAAAAGTCTAGATTGTTAGTTTTAGGAACTTGATAAGGTAAAACTATGCTGCTTTTTAAAAATGGAAATATTAGGCACTTGGTTCTTAGATCATTAAAGGCCTGCTTTTTCCCCATAATTCCTTGTCATCCTTAAACTTCCTTTTATTTTTTTGGTTTGATTCAATTTTGTGGTGACAAAAGAGGTTTTTAAAAAATATGAAATACTACTGGGTTCCAAAAGCTTCAGTGCTATGAATGTTAGGAATTTAAAACCTGTCCTACCCTGAGGGTCAGCCAGAACTGGAAAAGTGACACTGAGAAAGACCGTTGGTTTTAGATTTCAGACCGTGTGACCGAGTCATTTCCATTGACCTACAGCAGAAGAAATACTTCTCTTATTTTTTTTAAAGGCCAGAAGTAGCAAAGTCTGAACTTTTAAAGATATCAGTTAGTTCATGGAGTGACTTGCTGACTGCACAAAAGTATATTGATGTATCCAGGAGGAAGTCCCAATTCTTATAGAGACCCAGGGGATGAAACAATTGAGGTTTCTGAAAATCTGAAAAAAATCTTTATCGGTACCTGTGGATGCTGTGCCAATTTTCCATGCAATTCTTCCTTTGTATGTTTAAATGAAATACATTTAGAAAAGACATTTTATTTTAACTTCTACATGAATAGGATGAGGCAGGAAGGGAATAGCAAGATGAAAATGACTGAAATGAAACATGATAAGCCTGCCATTCCTCTCCACAAGTAATAAGGCATGACGGAGAGTTTTGAACTAAATTGAATTGATCTGAATCTGAACTTCTAATATTGATTGCATTATAGCAATAGCATTTAGGCTTATATACTGCTTCACAATATAGCCCTCTCTAAGCAGTTTACAGAGTTGGCTTATTGCCCCCAATAATCTGGGTCCTCATTTTACCAATCTCGGAAGGATGGAAGGCTGAGTCAACTTTGAGCCTGGTGAGAATTGAATTTATCAACAGATTGGCAAAATATGCATATGCATTTCTATCTATCAACCCCTGTATGTTTTACAGGAGAGGCAGAATAAAAAAATAAATAGTGGGAGAGAACTGGGATAGAGGATTCATGCTTCAAATTATAAGAGAACATAAATCATGCATTAAAACTCAAATTCTCCCCTTCCCTTTCAAGTCCCAGGCATGCAACTAATCCTTCCATTAGTTAGAGTGAGTTTGGCTGACTTTAGTAGCCACTCTTGACATCATGAAAAGGCGCATTGCTAGTTATTAATTTGTTACTTTGTTACTGCTATTATTACTGGCTGGATTTAAACTTAATAATAGAATAGACCAATTAAGAGCAATGGCACTGAGGTTAATAATTAAGTCTCATTGTTTTCCATTGGTCTCTAGGTATGCATGACCCATTACATTTTTTTTTTTTGTTGAGGTTGATAAGTGCCATAAAGCAAAGGTGTATCTGTATATATATTGGCTCAGGTGCCAATTTAACACAGTTACTCTTGGCTTGGATACTGCCGTGTTTTCCCGAAAGTATAACATACTCCAAAGTAAGTCCTAGCTTGATTTTTACACATGCGACCAATATAAACCCTACTCTCAAAATAAGCCCTAATTAAGATCCCGCCCACTCCAGGGTGCATGAGTAAAAATTAAGCTAGGGTGGGGATGGGGGGGAGCTGCCCTACTACTTACCTTCGGACAGTTGTGGCCAAGCCTCGCACACCTCGGCCCATTTCTTCTGCAGCTGGCAAAGCTTTCCTGAAGGCCTCTGTAGCTGATAAAAGAGCTCTGGATCTATCTGGAACTCTGTTATTGGCTGCAGGGACCTTCAGGAAAGCCTTGCTGGCCGAAGAAGTTCCTGAAGGCCTCTGACAGCAGAAAAGAGGCCAGGGGCGTCACACGCAAGTGAGGTGATTTAGTGGATGATATCCCCCCTCGAAAATAAGACCTGGTGCCTTTTTTGGTGGCAAAAAAACTAAGACAAGGTCTTATTTTCGGGGAAGCATGGTAGGTGTTTTAATGGAAGGGTTACTATTTATTTTCCAGCATAAAGTTTTGGACCATCTCTGTCCAAACAAACTAGTAACCCAAGTTAGCCGAACATTTGTACCTGCAAGCTGTTTTCAGCTAATATCATGTACAGAAAATGTGGCATCCCTATACCAAAGAATGTTTTTAGTTTGACCAGTTTGGCTGGAACAGGAATGGGGGGGGGGAGGGGGAAGGAAAATGTTTAAAAATGATTTCTCAATATTTGTGAGAGTCCCACTTCTTGTTTTATTTGTCCTATTTTCTCTGCCAGTGTTCATACTTACACATTACCTACGTAATCTACAATTTCTCTATCATATTCTGCTTCTTGTTTCTGATGGAGCTCTTCATAATTTTAGATACAATTTCCTTTACAGCCCCTGCATGATTCTTCTAGACCAGGGGTCTGGAACCTTAAACACTCAAAGAGCCATTTGGACCTGTTTCCCACAGAAAAGAAAACACCGGGAGCCACAAAACCCTTCCCGTGCCTATTTCTTGAGTGGCCACAAAACTAGCATATGTACTTGAATTAAACGTTCTGTTTTCTTCTGAAACTTTTCTTTTCTTGGATTTATCCATGGTTGGCCTACTGGGGGTTAAAAAGCTCAATAAATCGCGTGCTGGCGGGTGTTTCACATTGGCGGTTGTGACGCATATTTTGAGTGACAGGGAGCTGCAGCAGAGGGGTGAAAGAGCCACATGCGGCTCCAGAGCCGCAGGTTGCTGACCCCTGTTCTAGACTGAAATTTCCCAAATTGAACCAGGGCCTTTTTGAATGCAAAGCATACACTACAGGTAGTCCTCAACTTACAATAGTTCGTTTAGTGAATGTTTGAAGTTACAATGTTGAAAAGAGTGACTTATGACCATTTTTCATACCTACAACAATTGCAGCATCCCTATGGTCACATGATCAAAATTCAGATGCTTGGCAACTGACTCACATATATGATGCAAAGTCCCGGGGTCACGTGATCATCTTTTGCGACCTGACAAAGTCAGTGGGAAAGCCAGATTCACTGTTACTAACTTAACTACAGTGATTCACTTAACTGTGGCAAGAAAAGTCGTAAAATGGGGCAAAATTAAGATGTCTCACTTAAGAACAGAAATTTTGGACTCAATTATGGTCGTAAGATGAGGACTACCTATAAGTCTGCATTGCAACGGCTTTTTACCAGTATAACATATGATGACCAGTACACAAATAATTTAGCTAGAAGGCAATCTTGATAAGCTGTATTTCAGTCCTGATAGCAAGAATTACCCATTTTATCAAATGTTATCAGGACACTTGAGCCTTGAGCCACTATCTGCTATTTATATATTAATCATGAACAGAAAAGACACTTAAAATTCCAAATGGCTTTGGTCTGTAAACAGCTTCCTAAGTGAATTTCATATTATCTTATTTACATTTCAATGTCCAGACAACATAAGTTTCAACAAGTGGGATTTTGCAAGGATCATTTAAGAAATGGCTGTAAGTCAAGATTGTGTAATATTCCAAAGTATAATATTACAGATTCAAAAGAGCATTTCAGATAAAAGGAACTGAGGAGTCAAGGGAAAAGTAGGTCATTGTGACCTTAGTCGAATACAGACTAAAAAAATACAGACAAAAATAATAGTAATGGTGAAACTGTTTGCTCCTCAGGGAATTTTTTATTTTACTGTAGTCAAAATCTATCATTTTCAGAATGGCCTGGATCAATAGTAACTTAAAAAAAAAAAAGGTGGTTCAGTTTTTTAAGTTTTCTCCCCCAAACAAAACAAAAACAAGGCTTCCAGTATCTAATCAAACTTCCCATTAAAAAAAGTGAACAAAACAGAGCAATGGAATCCAAAGTACTATCAAAGCATGACTTGTTTTATAAAGAATTGTATTATAGAAAGGTATATTAGTTTCCATGTTTTATTAAATCAACCACATAAAAGAGCAGTGAACGTTTATTTTTATTCATTTACTAAAATTACATAGTTGCTCATCTACCAGAATAAATTCTGGATAGTGAGCAAGAATTGAAACACAATATAATTAAATGATTTGATTGCTTATTTGTTCCCTATGACTATCATTAAGTGTTGTACCTTATGATTCTTGATGAATGTATCTTTTCTTTTATGTACATTGAGAGTGTATGCATCAAGACAATTTCCTTGTGTGTCCAATCACACTTGGCCAATAAAGAACTCTTCTCTTCTCTTCTCTTCTCTTCTCTTCTCTTCTCTTCTCTTCTCTTCTCTTCTCTTCTAAAATGAAACAAAACAAAAACATCTAAAATGATGCGGAGGCCTGATAAAACTTGCCTCCATCAACCAACCAATCAATCTTGAATCCCCCAAAGTTGCAGGTGGTCCTATTGTTTCCTTGCCAATAATTGCTGTATTCTTGAGAGGATTTCTTAATGTCATATGCAGTCACCTCCTTTAAAACATCCACCACCACCTCTGCAAATTTATTTCTTTTATGGTTTTATCAGGAAATAGTCTTCTGCAGTCATGACATAAGCCTAAAATTGAAAATCAAGCTTGTCAGATGCTACATCTTTTCTATCCTGCTCTATGGAATGAAGAGTTGGTCTCTGACAGAAAGCCACTTGAAGAGACTAGAAGCATTTGAAATGTGGATTTACAGGCCGTTGTTACGTTTAAACTGGGTTGACAAAATCCGAAAAGAGGAGATGATAAGCCTCCTGGGAAAGCCAAGGGAAATCATAAAAACCATTAAAAAGCGAAAGTTAGAATATTTCGGACATGTGATATGACACCAGGAAAAATACAGCATATTTCACTTAATCCTCCAAGGAAAGATTTGAAGGCAAATGAGGTCCAGGCAAAAGAAGAACATCATGGCTTCAAAATCTAAGGGACTGGTTTTGACAAAATTCAGCAGTACTTTTTCATGCGGCTGTTGATAAAAATAGGATTGCCAACATGATCGCCAACGTCCGATGACGGATATGGCACAAGAAGAAGAATGCTTTTCCATTATTTACCAGGATTTGTCATAATGATTAACACTAGAGCTTCATTCTAGAAATTCTCCTACTGAAGTGAGTGGTTCTTTGAATAAGGATGGTTAGAATTTCATAGGACAAAATAATAGTCTTGAATTGTTTGCTAATCACTGTGCATTATATATTAGAATACATAAAATTAAATCTGGATGGCATGATTCAAGAATGTCCACAGAGTGTAGTCAAAAAGTCACCATGAATGAAAGCTTGTTCCCAGCAACCTGCCGTTCGTTTTCTGTTCTTTCATGAAAACTATTTCTGCAATGGTTAATCTGATTCAGTCTCTTAGTGGTGCCGTAATAAAAGGTTTAAACTCTCATCTTGAAATTAAGAGGCTACAGTAGGGTTGTGGCAATGTAACTCAAGAGAACTGCTGTGTGATTTAGGTGGTAATTGATCTTGCAATACGCTAAATAAATAAATAACCATACGCTAAATAAATAAAGATCTTGCAATCTTTCAAGCAACTTCCTTAATAGACAATGATTGTCAGAATCTCCTTGGATCTGTTGTACTTCACTGTTGTAAGAATTCTACCTTACTCTTAAGCAGTGATGGGATCCTGCCGGTTTAACAACCAGTTTGGTGATTGTGTGCGCATGCGCGCAGTTTTATGAAAACTTACCTTCTGCGTTACTGCTGGGGAGTAACACAGCTGAGGTGCAACAAGCCGCTCTGCCGCGTGAATCAGCTGAGAGGATATCTGAGAGGTCAGTAAAGCGCAGGGGTAAGTGGGCGGGCCCACCTGGTCGTCAGTGCTACCGGTTCACCCGAACTGTCCGAACCGGTAGAATCCCATCCCTGCTCTTAAGATTCACTCTATGTATCTTCTTAGAAGTTTGGGGAAACTCTCCTTTAGATTGCATTTTGTCCCTGAACAAATGCTAACAGTGCTATGGTCTCACATCTCACTCCCTGCCCTTAATGTGTCTTGATAGCTTCTTTAAAAAATTGCATACCATTTGAAAAATTGTAGAACTCTATCTCAATATTATTTAGTAGTGTTGCACTGCTTGTCTCACATTTATTTTTATTTAAGATTTTTTTAAAAAAAAAAATATTAAGGAAAAATAAATGGAAGCAAAACAATTCATCCAAGTAATGCTTAATTTTCAGATGATAGTCTGACAATTATCATGTCATGATTTTAGCTAGGTCCTCATTCATTATTTATTTAAAGTACCTATTTTCAATGTCTCTTTTGGTCAGAAGCTTATTTTTACAGTATGTCCTTCAAGCTAATCCTGACTCCTGGTGATTACATAAGATTATCTTCTTTCAATGGCTGAGAAAGATTGACTGGTTCAAACTCATAGTCTTCCTTCTTTTAAGTCTGTGTCTTTAACTGCCAGAGAGCAATTATGAGCCTTGAACTTGCAGTATTGTGAATTTAATCAACGTGATAACACATAACAATAGCCTCCCACCGGTTGGTACGCTCTCATACCAAACAATGTCGACTGGCAGCCCCTAGGGGGAGAGCCTTCTCTGTGGGGGCACCTACTATCTGGAATGAGCTACCCCCGGAAATATGGAGGATCCCGGATCTGCGCACCTTCCGTTGCGCTCTCGAGACCTTTTTATTCCATCAGGCGGGCCTGGCCTAATCTTTTCCCTCTTTTTTAATTATGTAAATTTTAATCAGTTTTTAAATGATTGGGGTGTTTTAATCTGTCTGGGCCAAATTGTCTAATTCGATTTTATTCTGTTTTTAAATTTTGTATTTATGTATTTTTACTGTTTTGGCTGTTCACCGCCCTGAGACCTTCGGGAGTATGGCGGTATATAAATCAAATAAAGATAAAGAAAGATAAAAATAACAGACTCTGTAGTCTCATCCCCAAACTCCCAAAACTTTAACCTAAAACTGTCTACTGTTGACTTCACCTCATTCCTAAGAAGTCTGTAAGGGGCATGCATAAGAGCACCAGCGGGCCTACCATCCCTGTCCTAATGTTCCCTTAAATTGTATTCATTTTATGCATTCAATTCATGCTTATATATATTATCTAATATGGACTCGACAAAATAAATAAATAAAAAAAATAAACAACAGTGAAATCCATGGAACTATGCTGCAGTAGGAAAGTAATTTCTCACTTATTCATTATTAAAATATGTTTGGAACTCAGCCTAATCACCTACTAAGTCAGTGAAAGATCATTCTGGTTTTTTTTTAAAGTGCTAGATTATGACGTCAGTCACAATTCTACCAAGAACATTGTTCACACTTCTAGAAGTTGCATTTAATTTGGTTGATGTATTTTCTGAAGAATTTCACAGTTCTTTTGGGTTTGTGGAAGGAAGGAGGAATGGCCATCTGTATAAATGATCACATATGCATACAAACCCTTAACCATCTGCTCTTTTCTCCTATAAAACTTGAGATACATATGTTGTACAAGGCAAAACTAAGTAGGAAAGATTTTATATCAAAGATGCTGAATTTGGAAATTAGCTCATATTAATAGTACAGTAATTGTGCAGATGTATTTATGTTGTTTTAATTTCATTTAATAATATAGTATTGAAAT